ACACACACACACACACACACACACACACACACATCACGCACACACATACATACGGCCCTATAGTACTCCCCATCAAACCGTCCATGCGTTTTTATCGCATGTCTACAAACGATTACAAGGGATTTCATCATTTTCATCGCGCACGCGACATTCGAAGGGCAATTATTATTCATGGCCACGCTCCACTCCCCAAGCGTATAGAACAGCAGTAGTAGAGACGAGCAGACGCTCGTGGTCAGTGCTGGGCTGCGTAGAGTCGGCAGGGAAGAAGCTTGCGAGCCTTTACGCAATGCCACACCCAGTCGGGAGTCACGCGGGCGGCCCTGCTCGCGGCCTCTCCCTCCGTGCCAACCTGCAACACACAGCCATCGCGCGTCAGTGACGTGCGATCACTTATAGGATCATGGTTAGCTAGGATTAAGGTTAGGGATGAACTTAAGCACAGTACAGGCACACACACGCGCACACACAAGCGCGCGCGCACGCACACACACACACACACACGCACACACGCACGCACGCACGCACGCACGCACGCACACACACACACATACACACACACACACGCGCGCGCACGCACTATATGCGGAAAGAAACCACGTAACCGCACGACCACAGACAACGACCGCAGTTTTATCTACCCACGATCAGTTACAATCGATGGTGTACTTACTGTCACCACGAAATACGTAAATCTACAACACCATACTACAGTCCTGGGTACACGTAAGCTATACTAACTCCTATTAAACTAAGTATTACAGCAGTGCGTGACTCTAGATCTACCATAACAACTCCGTCACCAAGGTGCCACTATATATTAGGCTCACAGCCATGCACCCGCAACCAAATCCCAGCTACATCTACTGACAATCCATAGATTACTCCGATATTGTCTCTTAGTTACGCTACAAACTTCCTTTACATATTACATACTACCGTTACGAATGTCACACGTCCCTGGAAAAAAAGTCCCACACCTTTTCCCGGTAGACTATAGTTGATTGTTGCCATCGTTACACGATCACTACCGGCTGCCACGATGCTAGTGAAAATCATCTAATCCCTCGCCTCTTCACTTTACAAACATGACCCGTGACACGCGTCGTGAATGTCGCTGATGCGCGACAGGCGTCAAGGACGACGACGACGACGACAACAGCGCAGCTGATGATATTACTTACCATCATAACGTTCCTGAACAGATTTAACCGCACGACACGTGTCACGAACACTCACGAACACACACTCACACACTCACGAACACACACTCACACACTCAGCGAACACAACACTCACACACTCACGAACAAGCGGGGTGCTGCAATCACTCACACAGAACACACCTCACTCACACACTCTCTACGAACACACACTCCGACACACACTCACACGAACGACACACCTCACACACTCCACGAACACACTCACATCACACACTCAGCTGACACACAACAACATCACACACTCACGAACACACACTCACGAAACACGCAACCACATTATCACACGGAAAACCAGGCGAGATTCGAAATGATGCCACCCCTCACCCCAACGCAAGGACGCACGGACGCACGTACGCACGCACGCATGCATGCACGCACGCAAACACACACACACAACACAACACGACACACACAACACACACACACACACACACACATCACGTACACACATACATATACGTACGGCCCTATAGTACTCCCCATCAAACCGTCCATGCGTTTTTATCGCATGTCTACAAGCGATTACAAGGGATTTCATCATTTTCATCGCGGCCACCGCGACATTCAAGGGCAATTATTATTCATTGGTGCCACGCCTCCAACTCCCCAGCGTATAGAAGCTAGCAGTAGTAGAGACGAGCAGACGCTGCGTGGTCAGTGGCTGGCGACTGCGTAGAGTCGGCAGGGAAGAACTTTTTTTTCTTTTTTTTGCGAGCCTTTACGGCCAATGCCAACCCAGTCGGGAGTCCGCGGGCCCGTGCTCGCGGCCTCTCCCTCCGTGCCAAACCTGCAACACACAGCCATCGCGCGTAGGTGACGTGCGATCACTTATAGGATCATGGTTTTTTTTAGCTAGGATTAGTTAGGGATCGAACTTAAGCATCAGTACACGGCACACACTACGCGCACACACAAAGCCGCGCGCAGCACGGCACACACACATACACACACACACACAGCAACACACACACACACACAGGTGTCACATACACACACACACACACACGACACACACAACACGACACACACACACGACACACACCACAGCAACACACTCACTCACACACGGCCCGCAACGCAAACGCAACACGCACACGCAAACGCACACGCACACGCACACCACACGCACGACGCACCACGCACACGCACACGCGCGACGCACACATACACACACACACACACACACACAGCACACACACGCACCAACACACACACACACACACACACACACGCACACACAACACAACAGCAACACACACACACACACACAATGCTACGTACGCACGCACACGGGGCTTAGCGCCTCGCTGAAACTCGATCGCGCCAAATTAGCAAAGCGGGAATGATGAAGGTATCAAGCTACGCGAAAAGCGGGAAGACGTCGGCGACTTTAGCCGCCTGATGCTCATAATTACACCGCCCATTAAACCCACACGCGCGCGCACCGCAGACATGCACCGGTGAGAAAAAACAGCGGATCAGGTTTTAGGCGACGCAACGTCACGTCACGTTATACCACACCATACCACGTTACGCTAGGCCACAGCACGCCACCTTATACCATGTCATGCAATTGTACCATGTCATGCCATGCCACGTCACGCCACACTACACTACACCACACCACACCACGCCATACTACACTACACCACACCACACCACACCACACCACACCACGCCATACTACACTACACCACACCACACCATACCACACCACACCATACTACACTACACCACATCATGCCATGACATACCATACCACAGCACACCACACTACACTACACCACATCACGCCATGACATACCATACCACATCACACCACACTACATAATGCCACATCACGCCATGCCACACCATATATGCCACATCTTACCACACCACACTACACCATGCCAAATTACGCCATGCTACACCAACCACATCACGCCATGCCATACCATACCACGCCACACCGTGCCAGACTGCGTCACACCATGGTACACCGCGCTACACCATGCTACACCGCGCCGCACCGCGTAAATAACGCTATATATGCGCGCACGCAGGCAGGCTATGATTATGACGAGCAAGCAGCACACGAACCTGTCACTGCCGTAAACACACGCGGGTTAGGTTTCTCCGCGTTGATCGCTCACGCCAACTTTACTTAAATTACGGAGTCGTTGCTGTGCAGGTGGGCATTGCCCGACCGATGACAGAGTTAAGGACGAGACTCAAGACTGTGATGAAATCGTGGGAGTAGTATTACGATACTAGATACGCTGCAAAGTGGCGACGTTGCTGGCAACGCTTAACCGCTAACGGTTAGAACTAGGAATAACCATGGGACAAAGATGAAGGTTTGATTATATTCTTGGGAAAAAAAGTTGGGACGAGAAATAATTCAATGATCAGTCACGGTTCTGGCAACGGCCCTCCATCCGTTACGGGCAGTCTCAATTTGTCAGCTAATCCTGGTAACTAACAATACACAGTGTTGTATGTTTAGGCATTTGACAATACACTGTGTATTGTTAGCGAGCTTTCAACAATACACTGTGTATTGTTGAACACCTTCTAACAATACACTGTGTGTTGTAGTAGGTACCTATGAGCTTTCAACAATACACTGTTTATTGTTGAACACCTTCTAACAATACACTGTGTGTTGTAGTAGGTACCTATGAGCTTTCAACAATACACTGTTTATTGTTGAACACCTTCTAACAATACACTTTTCTTTTCTTTTTCTTTTTTGCTTTAATTAGTTTACTTTTTGATTTGTAAACATGAAAGTAACATTTATTTAAATAAATTTATTGAAATTATTTGATTGATTTTATTGAATTTATTGAAAATGTAATTGAATTTAAATACACAGTTGTTAGGTACCTACTACAATACACAGTGTATTGTTATAAGGTGTTCAACAATGCACACTGTATTGTTGAAACTTGAAAGTGTATTGTTAGTTACCAGAATTATCTGAAATTTGTACATAGTAGATTGGACATACACCCAAGGTTATAGATGAGCACAGAAGAGAAGAAGAAGAGCTGCTTACCGCTTGTCCTACGATGTGCGTAGCTGTGTCACTCATAAACTCTGTCACCACATCTCCGTCATATCTACACAGACAAGCAATCAAGGAATGCAACACACACGCAGATACGTATCACATAACAGCAATGCATTCCGAGGTTGAAACGTATATTGTAAGATATTTACTATATAAACGTTGACACAGTTCCAGTACGAAACGCGTTAGTGTTATGACAACAATTAATGAGTTATCGAGTTCATCAACAAGGTATAAAATACGGCAGAATGATGTCGATGTTTTGAATTTAATTAATCTAGACATGCACATTGTCAAATCGCATGTTGTCGCTTGTAGGGAATTTGGCTTCAATTTTTGTATAACGTACTTTCTTTAGTTTGCGAAATTAAAATCATTAATGATTCACAAAGAAACATGGCGATGCGGGTTTAACGCTTGAATTTTTTTCCCGTAAACTACCCGTTAAATGGGATAAAAGCACAAGTAGTTTTTGCGCGGGTATTATAAGTCATCAGTTAGCATGACTGAACGACACCCCTGTAACACGACAATCGCGTCACAGTCGCTCACACTGATGCGATACATCGTGATTCTGATCACAACCGACGCATGTATCTTATAAGCACGCCAATAGGGTTTAACGCGTTCCCTACCACCCACCTACGCAAACATCGTCAACATACCGACCAGCCTCTGACATTAAACGCGCTGAGACACAGCGCAACTCCGTATAGCGCAAGTCAAACTCCCCGACCTTCAAACACAGAATCAGCGTCAGTGTCAAACCTACGGTGCGATAGTAAACGCAAGGCGGCTCTGCCGAGTGCTAACTCTACATTAGACCGGCCGTGAAGAACACGCGCATGCAGCGGGATTCACACCTCACGCACTTTCACGCGCTGCTACTTATCTATTTTACACTATAGCAACGCGTGCAGCATGTGTGACGCGCTCTTCGTTCGTAAAGCTCGGATATACTTAGCAGACGGACGTGCTGAGCCGGGCAAGAGTTTTATAGGAGGGGAAGGATGGCCGGGGTCGCCGCGTGGTTAACGACGGTGTCAATTAAGTGAACGTTCTAGAGTAGACTTATATTGTAAACAAAACACGCGAAGAACTTCGGCGCCGAATACCTCAGATCCAGACATAGTATAACGGTAGACATCATTAATAATAATAATAATAATAATAATAATAATCCCTTGGCTCTATAATTAAAGAATGGGTTTGAGAAGAACCTTAAAGAACTCCCTGGCCGCCTGGCCACCAGAAAATCGCACTACTGGGAACAGCACACATCCTGCGAAAAATTATGGATTGAATCCCTATGTTCCAGGTTGGGACACGGTCAACCCAGAAGCCTGGACTGGACTTTGGAAATAATAATAATAATAATAATAATAATAATAATAATAATAATCATCATTATCATCATCATCATCATCATCATCATCATCATCATCATCATCATCATCATCATCATCAACACCATCACCATTATCGTCATTCTGTGATGATAATGGTGATGATGATAACGATTATTATGAGATAACAATATTATTATTAATAATAATAATAATAATAACAATATTAAAAATAACAACAAAAATCATTATTATTAGAGGATAAATACCTATAATAATAATTATACATATAATAACAGCAGGCGAGGTGTGATATATAGACATGCGCCCGTGCTTTCGAAAGTGTATCACGCGCGGGTTAGACCGGCCGGATTACCACGGAGCCTTCTCTGTAGAACCAGTCTATTCCACAGGTCTGCTATAGTCAAGTTCATAACTATAACAGGGGTAGAAATTAACTTTTGAAAACGGGAGTCCAACGGACTCCCTACCCTAAAAAAGGAGTCCGCAGCAAAATGAGGGAGTCCGCAGTCTGATGTTAAAATTAAAGATATTAACAATAACGAATGTGCTTATTTTTAAGATTCATGCGGTTGCACGTCTATCAAATTTTCTTTGGATATTAGCTGAACAAATACGGTATTTCCACGAGGCCGTGCTCTGGAACGAACCAGGCAGTATGGCAGAATTTTCAGGGAGTCACACGGACTCCTGCATACGTCAAATCAAGGAGTCCGACAGTAAATCAGGGAGTATTTGACTCCGGACTTCCGTTAATTTCGCACCCTGCTATAAGCTTACAGCTAACTATCATTGAGTGAGAGGCTCGTCGAACGCACGCGAGGATAGTGGTAGGATCAGCTAGGAGACTGTTGTGGCCTCAGCTAGGCACGTATCTGTCTATAGCCAAACTATACTGACTGCTGTTACGTATCAGACGCGGCTTAGCGTAATGCTTAATCGCCAGAGACACGACCCGTAGCATACAACGCGTGTTAAGGTGACAGAGACCGGGATACGCGAGTGAGTGAAGCCTTCGAGAGAGAGGAGAGGGGGGCGTTGGAGACAGAATGAAAGCGAGAGTGAGGGAGACAGACAGAGAAATAGAGAAAAGGGGGGCGTTGGAGACAGAATGAAAGCGAGAGTGAGGGAGACACAGAGAAATAGAGAAAGGGGGAGAAAGAGAGATACACTAGAGAGATAGCAGGGGAAGAGACACACTGAGAAGTCGACACTGGGGCCGCTGCAGTGCACGCTCACGCATGCGCGCTCACGCAGTCTCTCAATGTTCCCCTCACCGACTTCCCTCACTCCCACACCGCAGAATGTTTGTGCGTGCGTGCGTGCGCGTGTGTGAGTATGCGTGCACGTGTGCGAGTGCGTGTGCGCGAGTTCGCGTATGTATATGTGTGCGTGCGCACGTGTATGTGCGTGCGCGCGTGTGTAGGCGCGTATGTGGGTGTGCATGTATACGTGCGTGAGCGCGTGTGCGTACGCGCGGGAACGTGGGCGCGCGTGCGTACGCGCGGACGTGTGATCGTGCCGTGCGCGCGGTTATGCGCATGCGCACGTGCTGGTTACATTATGCAAAAGACTTGCCAATTCATCAGCAAGCCGATTCCATCGGGAATAGCAAGCGCATCTCTGCTGCCTGTCACGACAAGGATATGATTTTAGTGTTAATAGTACTGCGACACGGGCGCTGACAGCTCCTGGATCTGGCACGCCCCACATTGACCGCTGTCGCGTCACGTCTCATTTCGCTAGATAAATCGCTCTGCATAATTCATCGCTGTCATTCATGTTTCATGTCGCTGGGAAGACTGAGAGAGCAGGCTGCGGCGGCGACACGGCAGCGTGCTAGGTGACAAAACTGCGCGCGTGTCACCGACGTCGAAGAGCGAAACACGGGTTACACGCACACGTAAGACAAGCACGGACACACGCACGCACGCGTGCAAGACAAGCACGGTCACACGCACGCACGCGCGCAAGACAAGCACGGACACACGCACGCACGCGCGCAAAACAAGCACGAACACACACACGCACGCGCGTAAGGCAAGTACTGACACACGCACGCACGTGCGCAAGACAAGCACGGACACACGCACGCACGCACGCACGCAAGACAAGCACGGACACACGCACGCACGCGCGCAAGACAAGCACGGACACACGCACGCACGCACGCACGCAAGACAAGCACGGACACAC